AAAATGAATGCCAGGCCTAAATGTAAAACTATAAAATTTCTAGAAAAAAACATAAGCAAAACCTTTGTGACCTTGAGTTAACATTAGCAAAGAATTTCATAGGTGACATATAAGGTTCTATCAATAAAAAAGGATAAACTTGAACTTCATCAAAATAACAAACTTTTGTTCTGTGAAAGATAGTATTAATACCATAAAAAGACAAGCCACAGCCCTGGCTGGTTTTGCTCAGTGGTTAGAGTTTCGGCCCGGGGAACCAAGGGTTGAAGGTTCAATTCCCAGTCAAGGGCACATATCTCAGTTGCAGGTTTCTCAGCCCCAACAGGGGTGCATGTGGGTGGCAACCAATCAATGTATCTCTCTCAAGTCAATGTTTCCCACCCACCATCCCTCCCATTCTCTCTAGAAATTAGTGGAGAAAAACAATTCCTCCTGTAAGAATTAAAAAAAAAAAAAAAAAAAAAAAAAAAAAGACAAGCCACAGACTAGAAAAAAAATATCTGCCAACGGATTTATATTTAAAATATGAAGAACTCTTAAAACTCAATAAGGAAACCCAATTTTTAAAATATGCAAAGTATGTGAAAAGACCCTTCACTAAAGATAATTTTCAGATGGTGAAAAGATACTCAGCATCATTAATAATTAGAGAACATATATTGAAACCACATGAGATAACACCACACACACCTATTAGAATGACTAAAAAAAATCAGTGGTATGCTGGTAAACGTTTGGCAAACGAGTCTTAGGGAGAGAAGACCCTGATTTTTAGCTTTTGTGGATTTCTGTGGTATAAATATGCCCCCACCGTGGCTGATTACCCCTCACAAAACTGTAAAGTTGGAAAAATATGTACTTTCACCATACAGACAGATAGAATAGACATACAACCTCAAGAACACAGAAAAAAGTAAAATGTAGTAAAGGAATTAAGAAGTAATTAAGTTTAAAATATTTACCTTTGTTTTCAATTTAAGCATTCATTTATATAATTTAATTTTTAACAACAGTAGTATGAATTAACCAGCCTACAAAATTACTGAAAATTGAACAATCATCTTTCGAGCCAGTATAAACTAGCCTCAAGCTCGCCACTGCCTAAAATAAAAACTTACACTACCAAGTGCTGACAAGGATGTGAACAACAGGAATTCTTATTCATTGTTGATGGGAAAGCAAAATGATACAGCTGTTTGTACGGGAAAACAGTTTGGCAGCTTTCTCTCTTAGAATTTCTTACAATTTTATAAGATTTCAGAGATCAAATGAAAGAAACCTGACCAGAGAATGAAATTGATATATCCAGCTTCATCAAAGGTTCCGTGGGGCTAGTCTTCAGGATTCAAATACTCAAAAATATATTCAAAGCATGACTCTATGATTAGGGGTAAAATTTGATATGAAAATAACTTTTATGATACCAGGAAATACAGTAATATGCTTTTTCCTTGAAGCATCATGCATTTGTTTTAATGAACCCACACAGATAATTGATTTTCAAAACAATGTCCTATTGAATTTGGTCTCAAGTTATATTATACTACAGCCATTAAAACTCAAGAGACTAAAAAGCAAATGACTTCACCTCCCTGTACCTTATCTCCATTGAACCTTTTTGGGAGAAAGTTTGGCAGTTTCTTACAAAGTTAGTCATATATTAACCATACAACTCAGCAATCCTACCTCTCAGTATTTATACAAAAGAAATTAAAACTGTGTTCATACAAAAACACGTACATAAATGTGTATATTGGCTTTACTCTTTAATGCCCAAAACTGGAAACAACAGAAATGTCCTTCAACAAAAAACTGTGCTTTATACAATAAATTCAGCAATAAGAAAGAATGAATTATTGGTACATGCAACAACATTGATAAATCTCAGATGCTTTACACTAAGTTAAAGAAGCTAGACTAAAAAAGTTTCATACTGGAACCACTGAGCAGTGATTAGTGTTGGCCCTCACATCGAAGGGTGGCAGGTTTTTTTACTTTTATTTTTTACTGAACATCAACTTTTTTTTTAACTTAAATTCTTTATTGTTGAAAGTATTACATGTCTCCTTTGTTTCCCCCATTGACCTCTCCCCGGCTGCTCCCTTCCCCCAACACATGCCCTCAATGCCCTACCATCTGTGTACATTGGTTATACGTACATGCATGTATACAAGTCCTTTGGTTGATCTCTTACTGCACCCCCCCGCCCCCACCCAACCTCCTGCCTTCCCTCTGGGGTTTGATGGTCTGTTCAATTTCTATGTCTCTGGATCTATTTTTGTTCATCACTTTACATTGTTAATTATATTCCACAAATGAGTGAGATCATGTGATACTTATCCTTCTCTGACTGGCTTATTTCTTAGCTTAATGCTTTCCAGGTCCATTCATGCTGTTGCAAATGGTAAGAGTTCTTTCTTTTTTACAGCAGCATAGTATTCCACTGTGTAGAGGTACCATATTTTTTTAATCCACTCATCTGCTGATGGGCACTTAGGCTGTTTCCAAATCTTAGCTATTGTAAATTGTGCTGCTATAAATATAGGGGTGCATATATTCTTTCTGATTGGTGTTTCTGAGTTCTTGGGATATATTCCTAGAGGGCTGCAGATTTTATTCTCGGCCAGTTTGGCGCATTGCGGGAGGCAACCAATTGATGTGTCTCTCTCATATAGATGTTTCTCTCTCTCCCCTTACCCCCTTCCACCGTCTCTGAAAATCAATGGGAAAAAATATCCTTCAGTGAGAATTGAAAAAAAGAAGTTTCATGGCTGTATGATTCCATTTATATAGCATTCTGGAAAAGACAAAACGATAGAAGAAAGCAGAGAACAGATCAGTGGTTGCCAGTGGAAAGGGTTAACTACATGAGTGAATTTTGGGGAGGTGATTGAAGTATTCTATATCTTGACTGAGGTGACAGTGAACTTTATTAAATTGAGATAAATGTCATCTCAACTAAAAACTATCATCATGGGAGAAAAAACACAAGAATTCAATTTCATAGGAAAGTGTGCATTTGTAAAATTAACATTAAAGAATAATTTTATCTTTTTAAGAAAAGTCTGCAAAAAATAAAAACTGAGCATCTCTGCCTCGAGCAACTTCAGAGAATAACATTTTTATAGGTACTAAAAACAATCCTATATAATAAAAGCCCAGCAACCATAACGGTATAACGACCAGAACGACTGCTCGACCAATTGCTATGAGGTGCATTGACCACCTCTCGGTCCCTGCCCACTCCCGGCCTGCAGGCTCCAATCGCCGAATGGAGAACGGGGAACCACAGGGACCCAGGGTGGGTGGCGGCAGGAAATGGCCCTGATCGCAGGCTAGGCCTAGGGACCCTGCCCATGCATGATTTCATGTGCTTGGCCCCTAGTTCATTCTAAAATCCTTAAATTTAATGGCTTCAAGGGAAAGTGGTCAACTAGAGTTGTACCTCTTCATAATTTTCCATGCTGTTGGCTTTAAATACGTGGTAATAAAATGTTTTTTCTCTGAAACACACATAATTCATAATAAAGTTTTCAAAAAAATAATACATTTAAAGTTGAAGACCTATCTAAGATTACAAAAGAGAAAAAAATAAATTACACACTGTTACCACCCTGTTGTGCTGGGACAAGAGATACTAAACTTTAGTTCCTCTTTATCAAAAGTCTCTAATGTCCCGGCTTGTGTGGCTCAGTTGGTTGAAGCATTGTCCCATCCCCTACACCAAAAAGTTTGCGGGTTCAATACCGGTCAGGGCACATACCCTAGGTTGTGGGTTCCATTCCTGGTTGGGGCATGTACAGAAGGCAACTGATCAATGTTTCTCTCTCCCTTCCCCTCTCTCTAAAAAAATCAATAAGCATATCTTTGGGGGAGGATTAAAAAAAAAAGTCTCTACTTACTCTTAATGTCACCCACTTTCCGGGTTCCAAAGATAATTTCTATGCAATTAAGTCACTCCAGTCTTCTACAGTATCTCCATACTATATGCATGTTTCATTTACACATGTATCACCTGGTACTGCAGGTTTCTGGTCACACAGCTATGTTTATTAATATTTACTCCTGTTGGTTCAAACACTCCATGAGGGCAGGGACTATATTTCAACACAGAGTCTGGGTTAGTGTTCTCATTCAATAAGTTTATGAGACTCCCAAATCTACATCTCTAGCCCATAAACCATTTCTGGCTATCTAATGTTATCTTCATTGGTGTATCTTATCGCCAAGTGAAATAAACTCATAATTTCTTCTAAAAGTCACCTGAGGAGAAGGATTAAAATCCTAAAATGTCTACCCTTTAATCTGCTGTTGCATCAATTTCCTTCTCTCCTTTTTTTATTTGCAAAAAACTAAAGCGCTTAAAGTCCCCCAAAGGAAACACAGCTTATAATTCTTTACTCAACTCTAAAGATGTCAATTAAACGGAATGAATAGTGCTCACAGTATTCTAGTTTACTTCAGTGAACTTTCTCCTGATCCTTTCTAGTGGATCCTTTGTTGCCCTCAAAGAAAAGACAGGATCCTCGGGCCGAGACATTAACATACATATAAGGTAGCTAGCTGTACAGTTATGCATAAAGGTCAAGGATACTAACCCCAAAAGGTAATTTGTTTGGCAAGATCATTTTTACTAATTCTTCGGAGATGCTGATTTTGACAATCCAGCGAACATTTACTAAATGCAGATGTTCAAGATGTTGTGAGGAACACTTAGATGATCAAGGCACTCACTGTCTTTGGCCCCAAGAAGCATATAATCTGAGGGGAGGTAAGTTTTGGCTGGTCCCTACAAATACAATGAGCAGAGCGTGGTCAATGCTGAAACCGTTCCCGGAAGTTCCCGGTGCACTGAATTTCAGATAACAGACTGTTTGACAGTAATTTCCAATTGCTTTGGTGCAGAACTGAACAAGACAAGAAAGCTTACTAAAACAAAACAAAACAGTTTATCAGAAAGTACAGCCTGAGGTAAACAATGCTCTGGAAAATGTGCTTACATTTGAATACACAGATGCACACTTTAACACTGGGCTCGGAGGTGGGTGAGCTCTCATCAAACGCAAAGCAAGTTCAAACGTGAACTTAACAAAAGGGACCCAATACAGTTCAGTTCATAGAGGGTGTTTCCTCTGACAGAAAACAGGAACACTTGGTTTCACAGATCGCTGACCATGCGAGAAAAGAGGAAAAGGGAGTGAGGATCTGTTTTTATTTCTTCCCCGGCAACTTAAAACACACACACACACACACACACACACACACACACACACACACACACACAAAGTTTCCTGGACTACTCCCTCCCTTCAACTTTATATTTCATAAACACTATGATCCTTAAAAAAAATACTGGAACTAAAGAAGACAAAACCGGTCAAATGCATTTAACCTACCAGGTAGTTTGAAAAAACAAAAAGGCACCACCTTCAGGGCTCCTGTCGGGCCGTGACCGGAGAAAGTGCACCCACCCACTCGCTCCCCGGGGCGGCTGGGTGGCTTGGCGCTCCCCTCACTGCTCTCCCCTTTCGGGGGCGCCCCGTCCCCAGGGAGGGGAAAGCAAGCACCTCCCCGAAGGGGCTGCGGAGGTCGCCCCGGAGAGGAGAGCGGCGTGGTGCACTGGGACCCAGGGGAAGACCTTCTCCGCTCCGGAGGACGAGGTGCAAGAACACCTGGGAAGACCAGCTGAGCAGGAACAGGGCGCCGCGATGCTTCGCGCAGTCCCTGCCCCTCCGGGATCAAGTCGGACCCCCAGCCGGTCGGCGGGTCCGAGAGGGCCTAACCGCCCCGCCAACTCCAGCGCACTGACAGGTGCCTGAGGTGGGGCCCCCGGCACAGGCGTCCTCCCGACCAGGTCCTGGCAAGCCCGGGAGGGGGGTGTGTGGGGGGGAGGGTGGGGAGGGACAAGTTCATGCAGGGAAAAGGCTCCTGAAGGTGAGATGAGCGACGGGGCGCAGCGCCGCCGGGGACGCGGCCTCACCTCGAGGGTGGTGACGGTGCTGGTGAAAAGGTCCTCTCCATCCTCCTGCTCCTCAAAGTCGGCGGGCTTCCCGTCCCCCAGCGGAGGAGGCTGCCCCT